TTTGTTTTGAAATTGGAGCCTCGCTCTTGTCCACCCAGGCGGGCTGCGCTCCGGTCCCTGTAGAAATGAATATGTATATATATTCGCACTAGTACCTAACCTGAACAACGTAGCTTAGCCTAGCTAAGGCGCATCTAACACTAGAAACACTACATATAGCCAACAGTTGGCAAAAATCTAACACGTAGCTTATTTTATAATAAAATTTCAGAAGGGCTGTATGGGATACCCTGAGTATGGGTTTCTACCTGAAATGCCTATTTGCTTTTGAACCATTTGCAAAGTAAAAACATCCATAAGTAGAACCTTCATAACATTGGGGATTAGCCTGTACTTTTTACCACAGTAAAAAAATTCAGGTTAAAAGAATAAATAAGAGAAGACCAGGCCAGGAATGATGGTAGCTGGCCTAGGTTAGTAAAAAGTGGATAGCATATAGGAATGATGTGGCAGGTACGAACCTGGAAGACTCGTAGGATAGATCAGGGAGGCAAGGAGGAGGAAGAGTGAGAAGAAAACACACTCAAAGAATGACTCTAGGTTTTTACTTGAATCGTGTGTTAGATGGTGGTTCCATTCACAGAGCTGAGCGAAGACTGGGCTTGTGACAGTGGTGAAGAAACAAGTAGAGTAGATAAGCTAGAGTTCTGTTTGGATATAAAGAGTCACTTGAGATGCCTACTGCCATCCAATCCCAAATCAGGTGGTCAAACTTGATAGTCCAAGATAGTAAGTCTGGAGGTTCAAAGGGAAGGGGGGACTGTCCTGGATAATCGATCACTGGGAAGTCGTTCATCATATAAAGACCTAAAAAGAAGAGTGTAGTGAAGAAGTGCCTTGCCATTAAATTTGGGCTTGAAAGTCAAGGATATATTACATAATACAAGAACATAGAAATTTTTTCTTTTTTTTTTGAGATGGAGTCTAGCTCTGGTGCGCAGGGCTGGAGTGCAGTGGGCAGTGATCTCAGCTCTCTGCACACCCTCCTGCCTCCCAGGTTCAAGCAAATTCTCTGCCTCCAAGCCGTTCCCAAGTAGCTGGGAATTACAAGCCCCACCCACCACCGCCAGCGCTAATTTTTGTATTTTAGTAGAGACGGGGTTTCTACCATCTTTGGCCAGGGCTTGTCTATGAACTCCGGCCAAAACTCCTGACCTCGTGATCCACCTGCCTTGGCCTCCCAAAGTGCTGGGATTACAGGCAGAGCCACCGCACCCAGCCTGATAGAATATCTTTGAACATAAAATACTTAAACACTTTTTTTGTGTGCAAACAAGAGAAAGTTGAGGTAAGATGAGAAGAAAATAAAGTTTTCATAAAGCCCCTGAAGAATTCCCCAACCTCTCCAATTCTGGTGAGTGGTTTTGTATAAATGCTTATGGTCTTTAATGTTTCTTCCACCTCTTTTGTTTGCTTTGTGATGATAACTATCTTTTCTTATGTAGATACTGGCTTTTCAACTAATATGTCCGAAGGTGAAGAACATGTGTAATAATAACTATGCCACTGCAATTAGCACAATACCCTATACATAAAAGACACTCAATACATATATCCATTGATAGACTAATACCATAGGGAGACCACTAAGCTAGTTCTCCAGTAAGGACAGGAGTTTCTTGCCCTGAGGAAAATAGCAGGATAGAATGTGATCTTGTAATTACTGACAATTTTTTTCAGGGGCAGCATCTTACTATTTGTGCCTAAATTACCTTAGAAAAAGAAAACAGTCTAAATTATTAAAACGAAATGGCAAAATCAGGTCATTGCCACTTCTTCACTGTGAACTGAATATGTTTGGCACAATAGAAACTTGAAAGGTTACTCATTAGTAAAGATTTTTGTTTCTTTTTTTTTTTTTTTTTTCTTGAGACGGTGTCTCGCTCTGTCGCCCAGGCTGGAGTGCAGTGGCACGATCTTGGCTCACTGCAAGCTCCGCCTCGCGGGTTGACGCCATTCTCCTGCCTCAGCCTCCCAAGTAGCTGGGACTACAGGTGCCCGCCACCACGCCCGGCTAATTTTTTGTGTTTTTAGTAGAGATGGGGTTTCACCATGTTAGCCAGGATGGTCTTGATCTCCTGACCTGATCTGCCCACCTCGGCCTCCCAAAGTGCTGGGATTACAGGCGTGAGCCACTGTGCCCAGCTAATATTTTATTTAATTATAAAAGTATTTTTGATTATCAAAAGTGATGAGCAGGAAAATCTCTGCATCAATGCACTCTGCTGTTCCATTTCAAGTCAAATTCAAAACATGTCAGCCATACTCATCATTCACACTCACACTCATTCACTCAACCAACATTCACTAATTAACTACACGAACCAGGTATGCATCACTGACTTACCTTTAATTCTCAAGTAACTCATATTATGTTCACAGTCTGGTTTCCTCGTGTGTAATGTGAAGAGGAAAAGACATTTTCAGGATCTTAGTGCCTGTAGATAATACACAGGGCAAAAGTAAGGTTTCCTCCAAACCAGAATTTATTAGGTTAGGAGACATTTAAATATTACATGATGGAACATTGATTTGTAGGTAAATAAAGCATTCCAACATGACTGAAAGATTTCTCCTAGGTTAAAGATTAGGGTGATGACATATGTCAAACGCAGATACTTTACTAATGACATTAAAACATCTAGAGAAGGAAATGGCCTTTCTGAAGAGTCACACTGGAAGTTGGAGGGTACTGAGTCAGAAGTAAAGCAGCTGGCAGTGGGTGACCAGCACAGCCAAGGGCTACAAGGCCAAGTTCTCAGAGCCAGCCCATCAGGTCCCACTGGTAGGTCTCTGCTACTGGAGGTGAATGCGTCTGGCCATTGAAATTTGAATCATATGACTAATCTCCCATGTTCTGGTTCCGTACATATCGAGCCTATTCCTCATTACAATTTAGATTCTCATTTAGATTTTCCTTTGCTGGTGAGAAAGGTTTCTTATGGTATATTTTATTTCAGCATTCTGATTTACATATCAGGCTCATGTGAGCTTGGTACATGTGAGTCTCGGGATGCTGAATACGTCAATTTCAGAGCCTGCACATCTGAAAAGGCTGTACTTTAAATTCATCAAGATGAATGCCAGACTGTGAGGTTGTTTGGCGGGCAGCCAGCTACCCTCCCCAAGCAACACCTCATCATGGCGCAGTTGCAATTGCAAGCCTTAACAGAATTTTAAAGAAATCTTGGTATAAATAATCTTACCATGTCTGTTAGTAGTACTTCAACTTTGACACTTTCTTTTTTCCTCAACAGGTAATCTAACTTCTTGGGTTTTTGTTGTGTTCTATTTTGGATTTTTTTAAGGCATAAATGGAGAAAAGTAGTCATAATTTCTGTTTCAGCTGGAGATGTATTTCCTACAAATCCAGGAGGCACTTCATGCCTAACATGCAGATCTTTAAGCCCAGGGTCCCTCCTAAAACTGGTGAAAATCATCCTTTTTCTCACCCTAAGAAACCTGAGAACAAATAGCAGCAACAGTTTGTGACACTGCCCCATGCACAAGGTTAAAAACATGAGTAGGAGATCTCAATACTGCAGCTGAGAGGTCACATAAGTGTGATAGAGCAAAAACAAACCAGCCTATACCTTCAGATTTGCAAGTGAATTATTCTAATGAGAGCTGTCAGATGCTTGTTACTACAAAATAAATGCCTTTTGGCTGCCTTTTTTTTTTTTTTTCCTCTTTCTCCTGATTAAAAAGAAAGCAAAACTGTAACACAATTCTTAAACAAATTTTTAAAAGTATCATCATTGCTAATGCCTTTTTTACAATTCAATTCATCACTGCAGGCAAATCGGTTTCTCATTCATAAATTCCCTGATTGTCAAAACAATGTAGATAATCGTTTATCATAATGTAATATATCCTGGAAAGCAATCATAACATAAAGAAGACTTTCTCTTATGTAAAGGACAGGCTATTTTAATATATTTTAAAGGCAAGCCCTGATTGGCTATTCACTAATTTGTTGCTATGAGCAACATAATATTTTATTTCGGAAACCTTCAGGATTTCAGTTGCTCTGTAGTTTTGTATCTGAATTTCTGAACTGTTTTCTTCTCTCTGTCTCTCTCTCTGAGCTTTGGTACTTGTTTTCCAGGTAGGAACATTTAATTTTTCATCTAAATATATTCCTGTTTAGAATTGTAAAATAATGTATAACATTCATGAATCACATAAAAGTATGTAGATTTTTACTTAGCATATTTGAATCCCTAGCGGCAAACAAGGAAAACAAACTGGTTGACTTACCCCAAACAGAATTTATTGATAGCGCGTTGGTTTCCAAGGACTGCGGTAACAAAATACCATGAACTAGGTTGCTTAAAACAATAGACATTTATTATCTCACAGTTCTTCCTTGCCTCTCCCAGCTTCTGGTGTTTCCCAGCAATCCTTATCCTTCCTTGGCTTGTAGATAGATCACCCCAATCACTGCCTCTGTAGTCACATGTCATTCTCACTGGGTATTTGTGTGTTTCTTCTGTTCTTATAAGGATTCCAGTCATACTGGATTACAAATCCACTCTAATTCAGTATAACCTTATCTTAATTTGATTTTCTGCAAAGACCTTATTTCCAAATAAGGTCACACTTGCAGGTACTGAGAGCAAGGGAAGGTTGAAGACACTAAGTCGAGAAGGCTAAGATCCAGGAACATACTGGGCAGCACTTGCAGCTGAGTTGTGTGATGTCTAGTCTTTCACTCGGTCATCGGGTTGTTTATCCAAGAATCAAGGTGGCAAGACTGCTCATCTGAATAGCCAAGCCTGGATCACATGTGCCCAACTCTTGACAGCACTGACGCAGGAAACAGGAAATTCTATCTTCTTCAGCTACTATATTGTGAGGAGACATCTGAGTTAGCTCTCAATAGGGAAGAAGCCATGCCCCAAAAGGATCCAGCTGCTGTTAAAAAGGGGGAATGAAATCTGGGGCTGCCAAAAATGAAAGACTTCTACCTTACCATTTTTATGACAGCTTATAAATCAGATGTAACAAAAAAATTAAATTCTGCAAATTCACCACAGCTTGACTGCATGACTTCAGGATATATAAGAAATCAGATATACAAGTCAAAAATCACTTGCCTAATACCTTTGGGCCCACATGCATTTCAGAATTTAGAATTTTTCAGAGTCTAGAAGGGTAATATGATGCACATACCGTTTGTAACATCCCAGCAGTGTGTGCAACAGCATCCCATAATCAAATGTATAAATATTTCTGTAGTGAATTTTTAAAATATTTATACTAAATGATAGAAAAGACCAAAAATAGCCTCATACCAGTTTAGTTAGGTTTGAGTTGAGGTCAGATCAAGTTTTACAATCAAATTAGTTATTTCTAAAAATTGGAGCTTTTTGGATTTGAAAACTATGGATAAGGGAATTGTAGAGTATACTTTTCCCTGAAGTTCACAAAGTCATGAAAGCTAAGCAAATCTAAGTTAGGCCAACAGTAAAACATCCAGGGTAATTCTACTATAGTCTACAACCTACATCTAAGCTTAATCTATAATCTATACTCTGCTCTCTAAACTCTCAATCTAAAATTTCAATCTATAATCCACAACCAGTATATACACTCAGCATACAGTCAGTATATGCAGTCTTCAGTTGTTGTCATGTGGCCTTAGGCCCATGACATAGCCAAGGAAGAAAAGTGAAAACCTGAAAAGAACACTTGTCTTCTAAATAGGTGATTTAAGGATGCATTCATGCCATACATCATTCAAATGGAAGTTAGATATCTTCATATCAACTAAATTCATATCTGTAATGTTAAAATTTAGAGACCTATAGTTATTTCTTTTCGTGTCTGTGTATTGTCGTCATTTTTTCTGACTGTAAAAGAAAAAGTAATCTCTGTAAGTCAATTGCATCTGCATTGTAAAAGAATCCAATTTTATTCTATGAACAGTATTATTGCCTGGAAGAAGGAAGAGAAATTATTTATGACCAATATCAGAATGATTTGATTTTTCTTGGTTCTGCCTTTGTTTTCAATAGTCCATACGTTGTCCTGCTCAGGGTATAACAAGACCCAAGTCACAAAAGGAAGAATTGTGGTTCATCTTTGAGAAATAAATTTTAACAAAAACTGTTTTTAAATATGTTAATTCCTACTGAGAAAAACAAAGAAGGCTGAAATAAGTAATATCAGATTCATGAATCAGAAGACTTAATGTTATTAAGATGTCAGTTCTCAACAAATTGGTCAATAGACTCAATGCAACCTTAAGCAAAATACCAGCAGTGTTTTATTTTTCTAGAAGTTGATGGGTTAATTCTGAAATTAATATTGAAATGCAATGGACCTAGAATAAACCAAGACAATCTTGAAAAAGAAAAATGAAATCGAAGGACTAATCTACCTCACTTCAAGACTTAGTATAGAGCTTCAGGAATCAAGGCAGTGTGCTAAATAGACACATAGATCAATAGAACAGACTAGAGAGTCCAGAAATAGACCTAGATGTAAATGCCAACTGATTTTTGACAAATATGCTGAGGCGATTCAATGCAGAAAACATAGGCATTTCAAAATATAATGCTGGAACAACTATACATTTATAAGGAGAAGGAAATCTAGACCCCCTACCTCACACCATATGCAAAAATTAACTCAAAATGGATCAGAGCCTAAACATGAAAGATAAATTTATGAAATTATTTTTTAAGTAAGACAAAAAGGTTATTTGAGCTTGACAGAGATTTCTTAGATAAACCACAAAAAGCATGTGTCATGACAGAGAAATGATAAATTGGACTTCAGTGAAATGAAAACCTTCTGTTCTTTGAAACACACCACTAATAAAATGAAAAGGCAAACCACAGCCTAAGAGAAAATATTTACACAACATATATGACAAAGATTTGTATCCAGGATATATATTTTAAAAACTCTTACAACTCAAGGGTTGTAAGAAGACAAGCTCTCTAGTTTTAGAAGCTGCGCAAATGATTTGAACAGGTACTTCACAAAAGAATATGTACAAGTGGCCAATAAGTACAAGAAAAGGTGTTCGACATTATTAGTCATTAGGAAAAATGCAAATAAAAACCACAAAATATACACACCCATTAGAATAGCCAAAGTTTTAAAGATTGACAATATCAAGATTTGGGGAGAATATGGAAAAATGGAAATTTTCATACATTGCTAGTGGGGAGGTGAAATGGTGCAACACTTAGACAGTTTAACAATTTCTTAAAATTTTAAATATACATTTACCCTATGACCCAGAAATTCCACCCTTGGATATTTATCCAGGAGAAATGAAAATATATATCAACACAAAGACTTGTAATGAACATTTATACGAACTTAATTCATAGTAGCCAAAAACTGGAAATAGCTCAAACATCCATCAACATGTGAATGGATAAACATATTGTTGTACTTTTCTCTTAAAATTGATTCATTTTTATTGTATGTAAATGACACCCCCATAGAGTTGATTTTTTTCAAATACTGTATTAATTCTGATTACTGAGACTTTAATGCTCCAGTACCAGGCAACATAGGGACTCTCCTTAATACTGCTCTGGTAGGACCATTTTTTTAGGTTAGTGGTGTTACTGATAAATATGACATTCACATTTGAAGCATTTATTTGAAATATTTGAGAGAAGCATTGTTTAGAAACATTGTGAACATTAACAAATTGAAGTGAAATATTTTAAGAAATTGTTAAACTGTCTAAGTGATGCACCATTTTACCTTGAAATATTATCATAATTAAATGAAGGAAAATTACATAAAAATAATCCCCACATTTAAAAGTGAGCTTAGAGAGTGTCTTAGTTTCCAAGGACTACTATTACAAAGTACCACAAACTGAGTGGCTTAAAACAACAGAAATTTATTATCTCACAATTCTGGAGGCCAGAAATCTAAAATCAAGGCATTGGCAAGGCCACACTCCCTCTGAGAACTGCAGGGGAACCCTTCCTTGCCTCTTCTAGTTTCTGGTGATTTGCTGACAATCTTTAGCATTCCTTGGCTTGCAGTTTCATTACTCCAATCTCTTTGTTATCATGCGTTATCTCCCTGTGTATCTCTATCTTTAGATGACCATTTTCTTATAAAGACATCAGTCATGTTGAATTAGTGGCCCACCCTGTTCCTTTATGACTTCATCTTAACTAATTACATCTGCAATGACCTTATTTCCAAATGTGGTCACATTTTGAGGTACTAGGGGTTATTTGGAAGGGATACAATTCAACCCGTAACAACTGGTAAAAATGTGGAAATCACCTGTATTTTCAACAGGGCAAGAGAATCTGGTTCTCTCTCTCATTGACCAGAGGTAAGTGATTTATTAATTCATTCCTTCACTTACTCGGTAATCCATTCCTCTATTCGTTAATTTAATAAACATTTATAGAACACCTACAATGTGCCAAGTCTTATGCTAGACACTGAGGATGCAAAGAAGAAAAACAAGACCCTACTGTTGTAGAGCTAGGGTCTCATCAAGGTAAGAGACAAGTAAACAAATACTTAAAATACCTGTGGGATATGCCACCATTAAAACTTATTCCAAGTTGAAAGGTGGCAGAGAGAAGAGAGTATTTATGCCTAGGCATTTCTGGAAGATAATAGCATTTGAGCTGAGGCCTCCACAAGAAGCAGTCTTTCTCTAGGAAATGGCAGGGACAAGGGTTAGGGCACAGAGGTTGTTTTTTCCAGGCAAACAGAATAGCATAAAAACGACGTGGAAGTATGAAAAAAAAATGCAGCATGTTCAGGACATTATTAGCAAGTCAGCATTATTGGGTGGCAGGTTGCATGGGATTATGAGGAAGGGCAGTGAAAAAGCCTAGAAGAAAATCTGGGGTCAGATAATAAATAGCACATGGCAGAAATTTAGATGTTAGCCTACAGGAAGTACAAAGCCAATTTTTCAGCAAGGAAGTAATAATAATATTTGTAAGCAGAGAAATAATAACCATATTCATGGGGATGGAATTTATTAAAATGAGAGTCTAAAAGGGAGGTCAATCAGATGGCCCACCTGAATTAAGGCAATAGCAGGAGAACAGAAAAACAAGGAGTGGCTTCAGGAGATATTTAAAAGGAGACTGAATAGAAATGGTGACTGAAGAAAAGGGAGAATTCAGTAATTTAAAGCACTGAGTATAAAGAAGATATGGGGAAGAAAATGACATTTTTCAAATTTAGATTATTTATGTTCCTCTTTTTTGTATAAATGGATTTGGGGGTGCCTTGCCGGGGTAGAAACATTACAAAAGAGTTAAAAATGAAATAAATGGGGAAATTAAGGTGAAGAGAAATAAGTTGAAGTCAAGATTAAAATTAGCACTCAAAATGCATGCTGTATGATGTATATGATTACTTGAAGAAAGACCGACTTGGCTTGACGTTTCTGAATGGTGAGAGCAAAGACAGAAGTTGTCTCAGTGTGAGATTCACATTGTCCTGAGGATAAAAATAAAGACTCACCTTTCCCTGGCACTGAGAGTGGAAAGAAATTTCTCCTTTAAGACAAGAGCCAGCGTTTACTACCCATCAAGCTGAAAGAGGTACCAGGACAAGTGGACAGATGAAAATATGAATCCAGAATTCAAGAGAGAGGCTGGGCACCCCAATTCCAGACTTGGAAATTCTTGCCACTAGGTGCTTGTGTTCTTCAAAATTTTTCATTGTTACCTCTTACACCACCACAAGAATTTCATTAGCAGTGGAAAGCACATTTCTTTCTGTTAAAAGTGAGAATACTGAAGATTATCAGTGAAAGACTACACCAAGGCAACTGCCACTAGGTCATGTTTTCCGAAAGGAACTTCAGATGATTCTAACACCTCAA